CAAAGGCCTACCTGACTGCTGAAACATCAGCATCGTCTGAGGAGAGGTCTGGACGGGCAGCGAGCGCGTTCTTTGTACCGAGCTGTGGCTTCGGCTGGGCATGCTGTTGCTCCCTCCTGGATTGGCAAACCAAAGGTTCTGTGGGCAGAAGGAAGGTACGGGGCATCGCGGAGGTAAGACAAACCGCCAAATCAGAGAGGAAAGGAGGAGTACGAGACCGCCCCTCGCCTCCACCCCACGCCACTGCTCTCGGACGTTCCCATGCTGTGGGGAAGCCTGATCTGCCCACCACAACCTGCCGGGACCATTTTGGGGGGGTCTGCCCACAAGTGTTAGGTGGATCCCTCTTTAACGGTCAGATCCGAGCGCCAGAGCTCACAGAGTGCTAAAATGGACCTGCCGCCTAGGGGATTCTTGGAACCGTAGTCCGAAATACAGCTTTCCCAGAATCCCAATGGCCTGCAAGCCTCTATAACAGGGTGCCTCGGGTTAAGTACACGAGTGACTGACTGTCTGGAGCTCAGGAAAGCCTGGCTCGGCCAAACGCCGACTTCCAAGAGGGATTGCACGTCCTACCCGCGCGTCCCAGACGGGAGGGCTGAGAGTTTTAACCCCGAGGGAGGCCCAGAAGGATGAAACAAGCCTAGAATCCCAATGGCCTGCAAGGCTCTATAACAGGGTGCCTCGGGTCAAGTACACGAGTGACTGACTGTCTGGAGCTCAGGAAAGCCTGGCTCGGCCAAACGCCGACTTCCAAGAGGGATTGCACGTCCTACCCGCGCATCCCAGACGGGAGGGCTGAGAGTTTTAACCCCGAGGGAGGCCCAGAAGGATGAAACAAGGGACCGGACCTTCTTGGCGGTCGCTCCTCGGCTTTGGAATGAGCGACCGTCTGACATTCGCCTGGCCTCCTCTCTGGTGACCTTTAAGAAATCCTTCAAAATCTTCTTATTCAGTAGGCTTTTCAAAATACTCCATCTGAATAACCTCTGGGAAGATCAAGCTATGGCTTTTGGTCGCTGCCGATTTTTGAAGGCAATGTCAACTTAACTTTAGCTTCGCTTTTAACTATGTTTATGTTATTTGATGTTATTATCACTGTTCTACACTTTCCCAGATACAGTACATGCTGTATCTGGCAGAAGATTGCACAGACCGGGGTCCACTTCACTGAATGCAAGCAGCTGATGAAGTGGGACACTGTTCACGAAAACTTATGCCAAGCAAAAACTGATGTCCCTACACCCCCAAACCACTGTGAACACCCCCAGTCTTGTTCTGATTTTGCAGGCTGAGCAGGTTCAGATCTGGTCAAGATCTGGGTGGATCTCCACTTAGGGACAGGAAATGATTTTGTCTCAAATCCTGGAGAGGTGCTGCCAGTCAGAGCTGACAATCCTGAACTAAATGGGCCAAGAGTCTAAACTCAACGTAAGGCAGCTTCCTAAATTTCCATGGGCTCAAGAAAACAGACCTACAGTTTCATGAGTGGCCTAAGGTGTTTTTGAAATGACCCGGACGAGTTGCAGTATTTTATAACAGCACACTCCAAGAGTCCAAGCAACTTTTTCATATACAGTGGAGCCCCGCATAGCGACGTTAATCCGTCCAGGAAAAACGTCGCTATCCGGAAGCATCGCTATGTGGAGGGGGAACCCCATAGGAACGCATTAAACTCCCTTTAATGCATTCCTATGGGGCAAAACTCACCGGTAAGCGAAGATTTCCCATCCGGCTGCCATTTTCGCTGCCTCGGTAAGCGAGGGCAGGGCGCGAAAATGCTGCGGGCGGCCATTTTCTGCACCTGGCAGCCATTTTGGAACCGCTGATCAGCTGTTTTCTAAACATCGCAATGCGTTTCGCTTACCGATCTTCGCAATGCGATGTTTTGCCACCCAAAACATCACAATGCGATCGCATTAGCGATTGCAAAAAAAGTGTCACTATGCGGATTCGTCATTAAACAGTGCGCTCGTTAAGCGAGGCACCACTGTATTCACGAAAAGTTCCAGCGGGACCGGTGGTGACATGGGAGTAACCTTCAGCACAGGGCATGCTTGGATTCCGTTTTCACTGCAACCCCTGCGGGAGGAGATCCCTGTGCTCCTTCGAACCAACACCATCCTGCCTCTGTTCACAGCCCATCCTTCCGTTGGAAAGAACCAATCACGCCACCTGGCGGATACCCACCTGTCTCCCTTGCTTCAGGATGGTGGGATTAGCAGCTGCGTTGCGCTGGGTAGTTCCGAGAAGGCCACTGGGGCCCAGAAGGCCCAACCGTGTGGTGGAGAGGTTCCGGGAGGGAATCTGGAACTGGCGTGGGTTCCGCCGACCCATTCCTGCACCTACAGATCCAGCTGTCGGTAAGGAGTTTGACTGGCCAAAGCCTCGGCTGAAATAAATAGATAGATAAATAAATAAAACAAATCCACCACAGCACCCATTTGAAACCACTAGAACCATCTAGAACCATGCCGCTTGTTTCTGAACTAGAGATGGGCACGAACTGCCAGTTGGGCGGTTCGTCCGGTTCGTTTACTGCTGCAACAGGTCTTTGGCGGTTCAGCGTCCCGCCCCGCCAGTTGGGCGGTTCATCCGGTTCGTTTACAGGTCTTTGGCGGTTCAGCGTCCCGCCCCCTCTGGTGGGTGTCCACTCAGAAGCAGTGTCCCAGCTTCCCTGCTCTGCCTCCTCTGGGTGCCGTTTCTGAGTGGGCGCCCAACAGAGGAGGCAGCGGGTGCCATTTCTGAGTCGGCGCCCAACAGAGGAGGCAGGGCCCCAAACCGCCAAACCCTTGTTGTGACAGTCAACGAATCGGGACGAACCCTGAACCGCCAAACCCCTGTTGTGACAGTCAACGAATCGGGACGAACTTCCAAACTGGGGGTTTGTGCCCATCTCTACTCTGAACCATAGACTCAGCAGGTTACGTGTCACTGCTCAAAATGGGAGAGGATGCAAATTTCATTTCAACGACTGTAGTTAATTACACAAATGGTTGCCTCACCGTTTTTAAACAATTGGGAATTATTATGTAGGCCTATCCAGCCCACACCTCAATAGTTCTCCTAGTATCGTAGATGTTGGTTAGAAAGATGTCTCTGAGCTAGCATTAGGAATTTCTAGGTCTATCTCCCACACGGGCAACAACAAGCCAAGGTCTGGATTCTGGGCTTCTGGCTCCCCATCATCCTGCCCACCAGCCTCCCAAAACCAGCGCAGAACCCGCATCAAGACCACTTCCCCCCCCCCGAGGCTGCCTTTTGGAGGCAAAGTTCTAAACCTACGTTCTTTGCTGCCGATATCCCGAGAGGTCCAAGATGGATTTCCGAGGGAAAGACCTGAAGAGTTTTTGCACCTGCTGTTTCCACGATAAAAGTCTTTTCTTCTGTGTCTCTGTAAATGCCTGCCCAAGAGAGAAGGAGAGGGGTGGGGGGGAAAATCAGGAAAAAAAATGACGACGATGATCACATACCTGGGTCACTAACAAAACATCTCACTAAATAAACCCAACAGAGGTGCGTGTGAAAAACAACACTCTTGTTCAGAGGCCCCTTCGGGAGCCAAGCAGCAAAATCCTGGGGAGCCTGAAAGCTCTTATTTCTTGAAATGTTGACCCAACTGATTACCCTTTGGAGAAAAACAAATGGAGACATAGACGGGTTGCTCGGAGCCGTCCCCACAAACCAAGGTCCATGAACTCCACGGATTTGAATGCGTTGGTGACAACCTTGTGGGGAGCGGGGCCGAGAGCAGCCTACGCTCTCGACACCAATTACGGCTCTTTCCGTAACCAGCAAGCAGGGCGCTTGCAATAAAGCACCTCACGCCGTTTGTGCACATCTGGAAATGGCAAAACTCCTCTGGTCGCCATGGGACCAAACATTCAGACACAACGGCTCTCTTTGGCCGTATCTGCCCATGTCGTTGGGACCGATGTGTTCTCACCCTTCTCCATAACGCCCTGCCACTCCCTCGAGTGGACAACGTCTCCTGTGGAAATGCTGGCTGGGTATTCCATACGGGGTTCTTTTAAAAAGGAACTATTTCCCTCTTCTCTTGTTTAAATAAGGCCCTTGGCAGAGACGACAACCGAAAGACTACAGAGAATGGAAGTGCAAAGGAAATGGTGGCTATGCTGGTCAAGGCCGAGCCAGGAGTCTTTGCAACAGGGAAGATTTCAAACCGCACTGGGTGGTTTCTAACACCACGTTCATCTGACAAATTAAGAAGGACTCTTGAGACTTTTAGGGTCAAACTCAATGTGAGGTGAAGGGCAGGAATGAAGTTCACATGCCGGCTTTTAAATTATGGAAACAGCCGCGGCCTCTGGACCAGGGGGTGAGGAATAAAAATGGTTCCCCCCCCCTTAAAACGGGCAGTTTTTCTGTTCTTGGACTTCACAATAATGAACTTTTATAGACCTGAGTATCAGAAGCCAGCTTGCTCTAGTTTTTTTTAACGGCACTCCGCTTTGGGGTGAAAAAAAAACACCCCAAAACAAATAAAGCATGCAGACCTCTTTTGGGTAGAATTAGGATTTTAGGAATGATTACTCTTACACAAAAAAGAGAAAATAGGAAAGCTTGGGGAAGGTCTTTGGGGGGGGGCAGAAACAACCAAGGAACCACAGGAGGCCACGCTTGATTCGGAGCATCAAACGTGGCGGGGTGGCCAGAAGAACCAAAATGGTCGCTGAGAGGTGAGAGACGCTTTCGTCTGAGTTTGTACGGGTCCGGAGAAGGGGCGGGGAGAGCAGCAAACATTTTTGATCTACGACTCCCAGATTTACTTAGCCCGCTGAGCTGGCTGAAGGGTTCTGAGAAATCTACTTTCCAAACCTTCAATGTGACAGAAAGCCACAAAAACCATGAGCAATGGTGTGGACGCAATGTGAGCAGGTGATGGACTCGATTGCCGTTTCCTTTACAGCAGGGGTCTCAAACTCAATTTATCACAAAAACCATGAGCTATGGTGTGGACGCAATGTGAGCGGGTGATGGACTCGATTGCCGTTTCTTTTACAGCAGGGGTCTCAAACTCAATTTATCTAGGGGCCGCTAGAGTCAGAGTCTGGCTGAGGCTGGGCCGCATCAGATTTTCCGCCAAGCAGAGCAAGAGCACAAGGAAGCCACCCAGGAGTTTCCTTAGCCCGGCTGGGGCTCCAAGAAGGAGGAGGGGTATGCGAGCCCTCTTCCCTGGAAGAGGCGGCGGTGGCAGCTGTTGGCGGCTTGGAGGCGCTCTTCGAGGGCAGACCGGGAATGAGCTCCGCTCTCAGGCATCGCTCAGCGGCAGCTCAGGCGCTTGGGGAAAAGGGCCAGCAGCGCACCTCGCTCACCAGCTCTCTCCCAAGACAGCGCCTCTTGCACCCTCCATCTGGAACTGCAGCCTGCCAACCGGCAGACAGGTGGGCTGGCTGGCAGGCTGCAGTTCCGGATGGAAGGTGCAAGAGGCGCTGTCTTGGGGAGAGCCAGCAAGCGGTTTTTATGACTCTTGACAGCAGAGGACGCGTGGGCGCTTCAGGGGGGCAGGCAAGGTAGGGGCCACAAACTATCATCCGGCGGGCCGCAAATGGCCCCCGGGCCGCATGTTTGAGACCCCTGCTTTACAGCGAAATAAGCATCTGGATGTGCCAAATTATTATAAACAAGCCACCCTGGTTAGCCGAGTCCTGTTGTTCAGTTACCATGTGATACCTGCTGAAGTTTATCCTTCCCCCCCTCTTGAAATATTCTAACAAATGTACTATGGAATATAAGTGTTCCTTGAGATAATCTTAGTTCCAGTTCCCTATGAATTAATCATTTCTCTACTGAAATTCATATCATCCTTCTCACCTTGCTCAAGAACGGTGCTAGAAAACTAGCATATATTGGCATGTCAGAAAAGAACAGAAAATTTGAGTGCATCTAGTGGGGTGTGACATGGGGTGGATGGGGCTCACGTCTAGACTGCTCAGCGGCAGAATGTTCCGGAAGGTCACACGGTGCTGGCACAGAGATCCAAATGTCTGACTCACAGAGACCACGACCAGGAGCTGGCCAATTCAGAGATCCAGAAGAATCCAGAGGTTGTCTCTCTCAGCCGTGGAGGAAAGGAACAAAGTTTTCTATTTGCCTAACACATGCTTGTATTCCTGCCGTTACTCACCTCATGAATTAGGCATTTATCTATGAGCTGCAAATAGGAGCTGATGTTCTCCTCATCGGGTCTGGAAACGAGGAGCTGAGTACACACTGGAAAAGGGAGGGGAGGGGGGGAAAAGCCACAATACTTTTAAAAAGTCAGGGGAGGAGAGAGGCGAAATGAAACTCTTACTCACTGAGGAAATATGTGCAATATGACATCATCCTTTTTTTTTTAGAAAGCCTCGAACCGGCCCCGCGCAGCCACTGGAAAAGGACCCACGACTGAGGGAAAAGCCACCCACAAAGAATACGCATGAGCGTGCATGCACACGCACGCACGCACCCACGCACAGAGGTGGGATTCCAGCCATGCCTTGCTGTGTTCAGTTCCATATTTTGCTCGCGGTGACTGTGGTGTCAAGTCTGGAATTACTCCGTTTAAGTCTATTTATAAAAGGGAAGCAGCTGGGTTGGCTCTGTCTTGTCCCGCTACGGGAAGGGGAAAAAAACGGCTGGCAAGGAGAGGAGGGAGTTGCCGTGGTTCTCTCACGTGGCCATGAGGGGCAGATGTGAACGCTGGGGCCTCGCATCCTTTCAAGCAGCTTGTACTGTCTTGGGCATACCAGGGTGGGCGACGGTGGCAATGGGGCCACAAAGATTCTCCTCCCCCCGTTTCCAAATCTGCTTTTGCAGCTCCCCGTCCTCCCTTGTTGCTGTTTAGTCGCTAAGTCGTGTCCGACTCTTCGTGACCCCATGGACCAGAGCACGCCAGGCCCTCCTGTCTTCCACTGCCTCCCCCTTATTTTGGTATTAAGAGGCGACACTTTGACTTATATTATAAATAATAATACTCATGTGCCGTCAAGTCCATTCTGACGTAGGATGACCGTCTTCAAGGGTTTCCCTTGGGGGAGAATACTCAGAAGTGCTTTACCCTTCCCTTCCCACAAGTTCTCCGAAGAAATGCCAACTCATCACTTTTAAACCAGATTAGACTGACCAACCAAGCACAATTACTCAAAGTGAAAAGAAACCAAAGCATGCGCGCGCGCACACACACACCCTAAACGAAGTTTTGCAACATCGGAGTGCATGGCGGCAGATTACCTTTCCCCATCACTTTAGTGAACTGTCCAGGGAGGTCGCCTTCGGGCAAAGGAGCCCCGCTGGATTCGCTCTCGCAGCCCGGCAAGTGGGGGTGATGTGGGCGCATCCCCCCAGAGGCGGCGTCCTTGTAGTCGGAGCCTTGGCTGTCGGAGCCGATCAGAGCCGGGCGGCGGGGCTCCGGATCCCGTCCGTGCTCGCTTGCCGTTGAGTTCCGAGAAGAGTACGCTTTGATGGGGGTGAGGATCATTTGGTGAAGCTCTTGCAGAGGGACGCGTAGATTACCCCCTTCCAGGATGTCCTGTGGATCAGAAAAACGGCCCCCGACCATTAACATGGGTAGCTTCTTATCCCAAGTTCTGAAAGACAGCAGGACCTCACTATTTGCAGGATAAAGAATCCGCGCACTCACATCTGCTGGCTGAAAATACTAAATAACACACACACGCCCCCGAAATATCTGTTTATAGGTAATTTCAAGGTGTATTTAACTGGCCAGAGACCACGAAAGGAACAGCATGCAATACTTTTGCATTTTTTTGCTTCTGCAAGATGGGGGGGGGCTTGGATCTCAAAACACCATTCTGAGCACCACAAGTCTCTGCAAATGGATTTTATCGCACTAGATCAGACAGACAAAGGAGTTGCAAAGGTCAATGGTTAGAGGACTTTGCAGGATCTAAGACGAGTCATGTCAGGTCAGACTCGGAGCTCATCTTCATCCTGATCCTACAGTGGCTCCATGCCCGTATGCAACGGGAATGGAAACCTCCGTCTTGCACTTCTGAGCAACTCATACAAGAGGCGGGCTGTATTCTAATCTAAGGGGCTGAGGTATAAAAGCAATTTGTTAGGAGAAGCCTTTGTGCGATAGATTTCTTGATATTCTTGCTGCCCAGAAAATCCTTCATCCATTTCCTCAGAGGTTATGTCCAATGGCTCAGAATCCCATTAATTCTACCAAAAAGCACAAGCGTTTCGGGTGAACCGCTGCAAGTGAAGAAGTTAGCGTTGGCATTTGCTGTCATGTGCCATGCCGGGCAACCCCGCGTGGAACGGAAAATGCCTACGCTGACTGCTGAGGAGATGGAGGCAAATTGCATTAGGCCAGGAGGTGTTAACAAACTAACAGGGGGTTTGGCTGCTGTGTTTGGTGGACCTTTCTCTCCAGTCAATGTCTTGAGCTGAAATATCAAGAACCATCATCTTCAGTTTTGCAGCACACGTCACAGGGGGATCATGGGGGCCTTTGTGTCTTCTTGACCCTCAAACGGGCACAGAGTGAGGAAAGGAAGGTGTACAAACTACGGATTTGGCTCAGAAATCAATGAAAAACGTGCTGGCTGTTCCTCAGCCTTTAAGGAACGTATATCAACTATGAAAGAGATCTATCGCAGCTTCATTGCCCTCGGCAGGTTTCCTCAAGATGGCCTTGCCTGACAAACGAACAGAACAGAGGGCTGAACTAAGCAAATGCCCGGGTAACTTGATCAGGCACTGAAGAGGCCCAAGCCGAGATGGGTGGGTAGTTTACTATACACCTACTGTCTGCCTGGATGCCCTGATTGATAAGGCCTCCTTCAGTCTCTGAGAGACAATGGGAACGTGCTCTGAGTAGAGGACTTGGAACAGCGTCTAATGCGGCTGAGGAGGCCAATTTGAGAGTGACCATCCCTTCCATATGGAAGACAAATACAATCTGCCCCTCGTCCAGCTTCCTGATTTGGCTGGTTTCACGACTCCCTCTTGGCCTCGGCCTGCTGGACAAGGGTCTCTTCAAATTGGGAGAGGCCATGATGCACCACCTGCCTCCAGGCTGAACGCTCAGATGTCAGGGTTTCCCATCTGTGGAGGTCCATCCCTAAGGCCTTCAGATCCCGCTTGCAGATATCCTTGTATCGCAGCTGTGGTCTCCCTCTGGGGTGATTTCCCTGCACTCATTCTCCATACAGGAGATCCTTTGGAATTCGACCGTCAGCCATTCTCACGACACACCCGAGCCAATGTAGATGTCACTGTTTCAGTAATGTATACATGCTAAACATTCCAGCTCGCTCTAGGACTATTCTGTTTGGAACTTTGTCCTGCCAGGTGATACCAAAAATGCATCGGAGACAACGCATATGGAAGGTGTTCAGCTTCCTCTCCTACCGTGCACAAAGAGTCCAGGACTCACTGCCGTGCAGGAGTGTGCTCAGGACACAGGCTCTATAGACCTGGATCTTGGTCTATGCCGTCAGCTTCTTCTTCTGCCTCGATACCACGAATGTAATATTTAGTGTATCAAGTATTTTGTGAGTCTTCGTAGAGTCTGACTGTTGAACTACGGGCCACCACCTTTCCCTCTCCCAGACTCAAGCCTGCTTCATCTCCTCCTCTTCCTGAAATATCACTCTTTCTTCCTCGTCTCCTTCTTGATGGCACTGGCCCCTTTCCAATTCTTCACTCAAGAGATTTGGGTGGTTCTACATTCCTTCTAGCCTATCTCTCCTCGGGGACCTTGGTATTCGACGTGGTATTTGGTGATGATCCAGAAATGCCGCAATCAGAGTCTGCTTCATCTCCTCCTCTTCCTGAAAAATCACTCTTTCTTCCTTGTCTCCTTCTTGATGGCACTGGTCCCTTTCCAATTCTTCACTCAATAGATTAGATTTCCTCTTCTTGGAAACGGAACTTACTGTGACATCAGGGGAGACAAACCAATGACAGCATGTGGTTAAATCGCTGTACTGCAGCTAAATTCTTCAACCCTAGGGTGGAGCAAAAATCTCGGGACCTTGGTATTCGACGTGGTGTTTGGTGATGATCCAGAAATGCCGCAATCATGTCACGGTCCTTGCGACAGAGCATACTGAAGTATCTCCCAAAGGGAAAAGGGCACATCACCCCTCAAATCTGTGTGCCCTTTACCTGGTTGGGTGTGTGTGTGTGTGTGTGTGTGTGTGTCCACACACCCCTGGGATCAGACCGATCGGCTTAGAAAGTTTAAGAGTTCTAGGTGAAGGCC